ACTGAGGTTGGTGGTTGGTCAACTGAACTGCGCCTTGAGTCCCTCACACTATTTTATTCCGCACACCAGTGAGCAACTGTACGTATGGTACCAGGGTCCCGGGCCCAGATGAAGCCACGGTGGCTTGTTTCAAGATGCCGTACAGATCAGTTTGTTGCACAAAACATTCATCCCCCACTTCCTTTGGGTAGGGAAGCTCTCCGGAAAGAAAACAAGCCTAGGGGAAGCACTTTGTGCACAGCGAATACTTTCCCAGTTCATTCTCCTGGACATATTTGATGTTCCTGGAGCTGGCAGCCCACTTCCAACCACAAGCTGTGCTCCAGTCTCCCGGAGGCATCCAGTAGGGACATCCTAGAGTCGAGTGCACCACTCCTGAGACCAGGTTGCGAATGAACTTGGGCCTGAGGTTTGCCCACAGGTCTCGCACCTCTTGCTCCAAGGCTTCCACGTTCCCTCCCTGAGGCACAGAGGCCATGTTGTCCAAGGTGTCCTTCTGCCTGTCAATCTCACCCTTCAGCTCCTCAACCTCCTTCCTGAAACCAATGAGAGCACGCTGCATCTGCCTGTGGTCCGCCAGCAATGTGGCAGCGTTTGGACACTCTTCCAACGCTTGCTCAACATAGCCCTCAATTGCACTGGACGAATGCCTGGCTGCATGTTTGATCAGCTCCAGCGGAACACCAGACCTTGCCAGTAGCTTGGCGCCTGAGCGCCTCATGAAGTGCCCAGTGATGCGCGACGGGTCAACCTCCACTGCCTCCTGGACCTTCTCAACCAACCTCCCAGCATCCCTCTGCGCTGCAGCAATCATCTCCGCCTTCTCCACAAATGCCATAGGGTTCCCTTCTTGGCCAATGAGAGGGATTTCGAAGGCACGAGCTGCACACCGATCGACGCCAGTTCTAAATTCTTGCCGACACACTAGTTCCTCTACTACTTCGAACGGGCAACCAAGTCCATGGAACGCTCCTTCGGCCTTTCCGCAACACTGGAGGGTTCGCATGGCTCCCCTGCCGCTTGGGTCCGATTTGGACACCGTTAGGCACAGCGAAGCCTTGCGTCCAACATTGTCCAGCCTCACAATCTCCCTGTGGAAGACCAAAGATGCCATCTCGATCTCCCGGAGGAGGTAATGTGTGCCCAATGCCCAGACCAGAAGCCCACCATGCGGCGCTGTGGCGCGCTCAGCCGTCATGAACCTTCCATCGGCTTCTAGTAGCAGTTGCCAGTGTTCTAGCCTGACTTCCTCAGATCTCCTTGGTGGGCCAATGGCGCGCGTGCAAACACGACGACATTCTTTCAAACACAGGTCCAGCTGCGGTGTAATGCAGAATCCAGCTTTGATGTGCCTCTGCCGCGCTTCCATGAGATACGAATAGGTACTCCGGAAACCAGCTGCACGCATGATGGAACAAAACAACTGACACTTCTCGATGGTGAGTGGCACTGGAGCCAAGTCATGCTGCCCGAGAATTTCACACCATGCTCGAAACAAGGAGTTCTTCGTATCGATGGTCCCCGCAGCGTACGACAGTTGCTGGTATCCCAGCCTTGCGCGATACACCAGCTCTGGGGAGTTGGCAATCTCAAGAGCCCGCTTGAGTGAGGGGCGCGGTCTGGTCTGCTCTTCCGCAGGATCTGGCTGCAGGGGGCCACCCCGTCTGCGACGGACCAGCCTATCAGCGTCTAGCAGCACAGGTTCCCCACTGCCGGGGTTCCCCATGCCCACCAGGCCACCGATATCAGGCACTGCCGCCCCAGCCTCAACCTGCGCAGTGTCAGCCACCACAATGAAATTCTCATGGCCCCAACCTAGCTCAGCGCGTGCTTGCGCCACTCTTGGGGGCAGCTGTGTCAATGGGCTTGAACCTACCGACCACGCGGAAGTTTCCCTTCCACCGTCGGAAGCTGACCTGGCCATCTGCCTAGTGCGCCCCAGGGAACCAGTCCACCCTGAGCGCCTGCTCGCGCACCAGCTCTTGACATGCCCGAACACCATGTGCGACGACAAACGAACGAACGCGGTCGACCCAAGCTTCACTCCCCCCCAGGCGGCTGCGGTCCGCAAGCAAAGGAAAGGAAAGAAATAAATGCTTTTCCCACACTTGCAGTCTGCGGTGATGTGCTCCTACGACCAATCGCACCTCTTGACCAGCCGGTCTTTCTCAGACAAAGTGAACTGTTGAACGCCGTCAAGCTCAGTCGGGACCACGCCTCGAGAGAGATTGTCAGCGACGTCGTTCAGCAATCCACGAACATGTCTTCCTTCAAGCTGGCCGATCGAGAGGTGTTCCAATTCAAGGAGAATTTCTCCCGCAACATGGTTAAGTGTGACACTCTTGACCCGAAAGGTAAGGGAGGCCTGTAAAGTAGCAGTGTTGTCCGTTCGGAGAAACACCTTGTACTGACCCCCAAACAACACGGTAGAAAAACAGCGCAAAGCGAAAAGAACCGCAAACAGTTCAAATTCAGTCTGCCAGGCTGCACTACCGATACAGCAGTCCGGATGTAACCACTGACAGTCTGTCGTGGTCAACTCATGCATGAAATAACCGACAGGCCTTGCCCCGACGGTGAGGTAGCCTCCCAGGCCCTTTGGACAAGCATCGGTCCAGAGCTCACACAGAGGGAGCTGTTCGTCAAACCTATACAATTTTGAAAGACGAATGGGCTCAGAAGGGGGTGGAGGGGCCAGGGATCCATGTTCAGGGGTATGACGTACATGCTCCGCACCCTGCCGTGCAGAAGCGACGCGCAGCATGGCAAACAGGCCCTGCACTGCCCAAGAGATCTGCTTCCAAAAGCAGAGCCCCTTCCGGCGTCTCGTTTGAGGGCGCACAGGCGCCCGCTCCTCCCTTGCCACCGCCAAGGCCCCCCACAGTGCAGCCGTCCAGGGCCGCGACGACGGTATCAGGCTGCCGGCCATGCACTGCCTGAAATGCCTGCACTGTGACCTGGTCCTGAACCACCTCAAAGGCCCGAACACCAGGAAGCCGCCAGGGAGTCCACCAGCGACCACACAAGAAACCAAGCAACCACACCAGGCCTACGAAGACGAGGAAATCGTCGACCGAAGGTGAGTGTGGTCGCTCAGCTCCTTGAGCCAAAATCGGCCCACGCTCTCCTGCCTTGAAAACAGTCCATCACCTCCAACAATCTGCACACTGTCATTACTCGAAAATGAGATTTTCATCGCGAAAAACTGATTCTGAGGCTTTCACGAGCTTCTTGGCACAGAACACCGCCTAATTGA